GAGTTATTTCAAGAACAACCACCTTTTCTTCTTATTCATATTTGCATTTAACCTTGCTCTAGTTACAAGTTCTGGTTTGACTCCTAGACTTGGTTCATTTAGTCCTGGTTATCTAATGCATATAATCGACAACATCCCAACTAATTCTCCATCTTTGACTCTTCGTTGTCAATCTAAAAATGACGATCTAGGATATTATACACTCAATGTCATTGGTCAAGAGTTCAGATTTAAGTTTCAAGAACAATTTGGTGGTGGTACATTATTCTTTTGCCATTTTTACTGGAATGGTAAAGACAAAGCATTTGATGTTTTCAATGATTTTATATCTGACCAATGTGGATCCCTTGGTGCTTTAGTGTCTGAATATTTTTGGAAAGTGCAAGAGGATGGTTTCTATTTTGGACCTCATCAAGATGCTACATTTGAGAAGAAATATTCGTGGTAATAAAATGTATACTAGCTTTGTAGCATCTAGATCTATTTCAATTTCGCATAAGAAAATTGAGAGTATATATATAATCTCACCTTTGTAGGGGAGAGGAAGAAATGAAATGAATTCTCTTGTACTATTTATTTCTCGATTTCATTTCAACTATATATTCTCACCTTTATTTTGAATTGAAAAAGATTAACAAAATACACGAGTATGAGCTTCTGTGGATTCTCGTGTCAATGTGATGTAGGAAAAATGTCCAAATTTAAAATTATCCTCCTTTATTCTTCGACTCATGCTCACGGTAGAGCTCCATTACGGTCAAAGACAGATACAAAACCCAAAGTATAACTGATGATACAAATAAGATATTATGTGTAATTAAAGTAGTAATTTTTAACGAGGAATTTTCAGAAACCACTATTATTTAGTGGCTATTAACTTTCTATAGCTACTATATATATAAAATTACTTCCTATAGCTACTATTCAGTTGTTACGGTAGTGTATTCACTGTACGCGCTACAGTAGTCATGAATACAGTAGCAAAAGTCGCCTAATAAACAAGGGGTTACAGTTGTACGCGACAGTATTCATGAATAAAGTACGGCAATCACCTTAAAAATAGGTCTGTTGTCACGACCCGAATTTTCCACCTTCGGGATTTGTGATGGCGCCTACTCATGAAAGCTAGGCTAGCCGAGTATTACAGGTTTTATTACCCTTTTTCCTTAACCTTTTTGCATTTACGAATTAACATGTGATCAACAGCGGAATAATCATAATAAACAGAAATGCGGAAGACGAAATCTAATAGTTTAACTAAATACCAGTACGATAATCCAAAATACGACTCTACCCAGAATTGGTGTCACAATGTCACGGACTATCTACGAATACTACAAACAGAGGTCTGAAAGATAAATACAATTCTATCTCTGAAATACATAAGAACAGAATGGAAAGATAGAAGGGGACGCCAAGGCCTCCGGACGTCTACAGGACTACCTCAGGTCTCCGCCGCTGGACTGAAGCCAGCAACCTCACTGTGGTCCAAAAGCTCCAGTACCGAGATCTGCACACAGTGCAGAGTGTAGTATCAGCACAACCGACCCTATGTGCTGGTAAGTATCGAGCCTAACCTCGGCGAAGTAGTGACGAGGCTAGGACAAGATTACCAAATAAACCTGTGCAGTTATATCATATACGACAAGTAGTAATAACAGGAAATAGCAGTTAAAGATGGGAAGTGGGAACATGCTGTGGGGAATATCAAGTACCAACAGAATCTTAGGAGAAAAGCATAAAGAACATCTTAAATTTCACGCCAGTCAGAATAAGGAATCAGTCATGAATCTATAACCACTTTTATTCTCTATTGTTGCGGCGCGCAACCCGATCCAAATTATATATCACTGTTGCGGCGTGCAACCCGATCCAAATCATATATTACTGTTGCGGCGTGCAACCCGATTCAAATCATATATCACTGTTGCGGTGTGCAACCTGACCCCTCCTGTCCTCCCTTATTACTCCTTATTGTGGCGTGCAACCCGATCCTATATATTATTGTTGCGGCATGCAACCCGATCCAAATATACAAATCATCACTGATGAGAAAAGAATCCCGACAAGGAAACAATAAGGAAATAACAATATCCCGGCAAGGGAACCAACAACAAGAATAAACACATCCCGACAAGGGAACCAACAGTAAGAATTAAATAGGTCTCGGCAAGGGAATCAACTATAACCAAACTTATACCAACAATTAACTTCGCAAATGAAACCTCAACTGGAGCCAATGCTCTACAATGTCCAATTACCAGGAATACTTCCATAAGCCTTGTTCAATATTAATAACATCATATTAAGCGTGGATAATACATAAAGGAGTCACAACAATCATAGTATAAGACTAACGGGCATGCTTGACACCAACGTATAGGTACTCGTTACCACACCTATACGTCGTACTCATCAATTAACACATAGCAAATAAGACCACGATTCCTATTCCCTCAAGCTAAGGTTAGACTAAACACTTACCTCAATGCCTTGAACACAATTCAAGCCTGAACTACTGCTTTACCTCTTGTTTCCACCACCAATTCACTTGTATCTAGCCACAATTTACTTAACGATATCAATAAATGCTAAATAAATCAATTCTAATTCATGAAAATAGGTTTTCTAATGTTTTCCCCAAAAAGTCAAATATCGACCCCGGGCCCACATGGTCAAAACCCGAGGTTCGAACCAAAATCCGATCACCCATTCACCCACGAACTCAAATATATAATTTGTTTTGAAATTGGACCTCAAATCGAGGTCCAAATTTCCAAAATTTGAAAATCCTAAGTTCTACCCAAAAAACCCAATTTCCCCCATGAAAACCATTGATTTTGAATTGAAATCATGTGAAAAGATGTTATGAATTAAAGAAAATGAGTTGGAAATGACTTACTAATGATTTGGAGAAGTTGATGCCTTTGAAAAATCGCCCAAGATGGTTTTAGGATTTGAAGAGTTGTAAAAATGAATGAAATCCCGTCAAAATCCCAATTAACTGGTCACAGATAGCGAACCAAGCTTCGCATTTGCGAACCTGTGCATTGTCTGCTTCCTTCGCAATTGCGAACAAGTTGTCGCAATTGCGATTACTGGCTCTCCCCTGATGGCTTCGCAATTGCGAAGGGAAAGATGGCAAATGCGATCATAGGCTGGCCAGACTTCCTCGCAATTGCGAAGAAGTCCTCGCAATTCCCAAGCCTGATAGGCTCACAATTGCGACATCTGACCTCGCAATTGCGAGATCAGAGCGTCCAACACATACCAGATGAAAATCTGAAACTTCCTAAGTCCAAATTCATTCCGTGGCCTATCCAAAACTCACCCGAGCCCTCGGGGCTCCAAACCAAACATGCACGCAAGTCCAAAAATATCATACGGACTTGCTCGTGCGATCAAATCATGAAAAATAACATCAACAACCATGAATTAAACCTCAAATTCATAAAATTGCTCAAGAACATCAAAATTTCTATTTTCTCAACTATACGTCCGATTTATACCAAATAAATTCGATCTTTACCAAATTTCACAGATTCAACCTAATTATTATTTTAAACTTGTACCAGGATCCGGAACCAAGATACGGGCCCGATACCATCAAGAAATTACATAAATTCTCTTCTAAAAGCCTTTGTATTTTCCAGCAAACAATTTTCTTTGAAAATTTATTTCTCGGGCTTGGGACCTCGGAATTCGATTCCGGGCATACGCCCAAGTCCCAAATTTTACTACGGACCCTATGAGACCGTCGGATCACGGGTCCGGGTCCGTTTACCAAGAATATTGACCATAGTCAACTTTAATCAATTTTAAAGGCCAATTTCCTTATTTTACTTAGATTTCACATAAAAGCTTTCCGAAACGCGCCCGAACTGCGCACGCAAATCGAGGTGAGATAAAAACAGGTTTTTAAGGCCTCGGAACACAGAATTTACTTTCAAAAAGAGTGATGACCTTTTGGGTCATCACATCCTCCACCTATAAAATAACTGTTCGTCCTCGAATGGACATAGAAAAGAAGTACCTGAGTCAGGGAAAAGATGGGGATATCGGCTCCGTATATCGGACTCGGACTCCCAGGTGGCTGCCTCGGCAGGCTGACTTCTCCACTGAACACAAACTGAAGGGAACTTCTTCGATCTCAACTGACGAACCTGCCGGTCTAGAATAGCTACCGGCTCCTCCTCATACGACAAGTCCTTGTCCAACTGGACAGTGCTGAAGTCTAACACGTGGGATGGATCGCCGTGATACTTCGTCGAAGCATGGACACTTGAAATACTGGGTGCACAGCTGATAAACTCGGCGGCAACGCAAGTCTGTAAGCCACCTCTCCCACTCGATCAAGAATCTCAAAAGGACCAATGAACCTAGGAATTAGCTTGCCCTTCTTCCCAAATCTCATCACGCCCTTCATGGGCGACACCCGGAGCAACACTCGCTCTCCGACCATGAATGCCACATCACGAACCTTGCGGTCGGCATAACTCTTCTGCCTGGACTGAGCTGTACGAAGCCTATCCTGAATGATCTTCACCTTATCCAAGGCATACTGAACTAAATTTGTACCCAACAACCGAGCCTCTCCCGGCTCAAACCACCCATCCGGCGACCGACACCGCCTACCATATAATGCCTCATAGGGGGCCATCTGAATGCTCGACTGGTAGTTGTTGTTGTAGGCAAACTCTGCTAATGGCAAGAACTAAT